TTATCAATAGGGACCTAGGGCAGCTTTTTTTTTTTTTTTTTAAGAGTTATTAATTTATTTGTGAGGGAGAGAGAGAATCCTCAGGCAGACTCCCTGCTGAATGCAGAACCCCATGCTGGGCTGGATCTTAGGACCCCAATATCATGACCTGAGCCAAAATCAAGAGTTGACCGCTTAACCAATTGAGGACCCATGCATCCCTGTTTGTATGTTTTATATAAGTAAAGTATCTAATAATTTATAGTGATCCAATGATTCATGAAGTTTGGATCTACTCACAAATCATATTATCTGGGTTGATGATTAAAATGTTGATTCAAGGGCTTTACCCAGGGCCACAGAATCTACAGTTAACAAACTTTGTACGATGGTGATTCATATACTTAAGGGTGAAAATCATTATAGATAGGTACCAGAGATATGAATGGTAGCCCTCCCAATGGTGATTGTAAATCAGCTGTGGGAAATGTGGCAGATAATGCTTAGTCCAAAGGGTTAACTGGTAGTGTTTTAGTGTCAGAGAATTTTAATTGTTTAGGGTGGTGGGGACTAGCAGCCTGTGGCCTACAGGCCAAATCCAACCCATCTTGGGTTATTGTATGGCCAGCAAGCCTTACAAAATGTTATTTGCATTTATAAATGGTTGAAAAAAATCAAAAGAATATTTTGTGATGTGTGAACATTTTATGAAATTCAAATTTTGTATCCATAAATAAAGTTTTATTGAAACACTGTTATGCTTATCAATTTGTGAATTGTCTGTGGCTGCTTTTGCATTGCAAAAGTAGAGTCAAGAAGTTACAACAAAGACCATATGCCCCCAAGACCTAAATTACTAATTACTTGTCTTTTCACGAAAAAAATTTGCAGGTCCCTTGGCAAAGCTATAGGCTTTCGTTTACTATGCAGGACTATCAGTCTCCCCATAATCTTAAATCTGTCTCCACTTCTCTACCAAATTATAACCCTCTATCCCCACCCCCCACCCTCCCCTCACATATACACTCCACACACAACCTGACTGAGTGTCTTGCAGTGAAGCTCTGGACTGCCTTCTTTATAGTGAAAGAAGACAGCAAAACTGCCTTGTTCTCATTCAGAAAGATCCTTTAAGGGGAGACACACCATAAGAGACTATGGACTCTGAGGAACTAACTGAGGGTTTTGGAGGGGAGGAGGTGGGAGGTTGGGTGAGCCTGGTGGTGGGTATTGTGGAGGGCACGTATTGCATGGTGCACTGGGTGTGGTGCATAAACAATGAATTCTGGAAGACTGAAAAGAAATTTAAAAACATAAATAAAAATTTTTAAAAAGAAAAGGTCTTTGCACACCTAAACAAAAGCAAAAAAAAAAAAAAATCCTTTAAATTTCCTGTGAATTATTCTGTGATCTTGGGGAAAAAATATTCTGGAACTATCTGATTATATTAATATAATCCTTACCAACTCATGGGGCCACTTATGACAGCCAGTTCTAGCCCCAGGAAAATATAAAATGTCAAAAAAAATTCTAAGAAGGGGAAATCCATTTACAACAAACTAAAGGTTAATGGATTCATGATTCAACCTCAAACTATATTATATCAAATAAAATATTTGACCTGACAAAGAAAAGAGCTTTTTTAAACTTGGTAAGAGAGTAGGACTTCCTAAAGCTTTTCCAAATACTTGATAAAATAAAAGATGGACTTTGTAGAAAAGAAATAAAGTAGGAAATAAGACAAAGGGTCTTTGCTTTGTATATATAGAGGATTAAATAAATACATAGTTTGTGAATTACTGTCTCTTCTTTTTTCACTCCTCTTCTTCTGGTCACTTTTCTGTCCAATAGGAAAATGATAAAAATAAATAAATGAGGAAATAATAGTAAATGGAAAATAAGGTTAGAAGAATAATAAATCAGCAGGAAAGATTAGTACTCTAAAATGTGTATCAGCTGGTCTTATTCTCTTGTTAGTGATGGACTACAAATATGATTCTATGCTTCCACATAGGTAGCCAAAGCAAAGTAGAATACAAAAAATTTAGTGGCTATAAATCAAAAACTAAACTAATTTTTCATGAGAAACATGCTTTTCCTATTACTAAGCCTTGAGATAAATTTTTCTGGTAGGTCCTCATAGTAAGTCAACCATGTTGACTTGGACATGGATGCTGTTTTATACACACACACAATTATAGACACTTTTTGTCTATCTATTCTTTCAAAGGCATGGATGCAAAATCCACATTAAGGAAAAGGCATAGCATAGGGCCTGAGGTGGTGCAACACAACAGTAATTTCTCAATCTCATACATAAATGAGGGTGTGGAAAATCGAATTCAATTAGGAAGCTTACACGGGACCTTTGGGCAAGTTATTTTGTTTTGGTTTACTCATATATTGGATATATCCCTGTACACTTCTGTTATACAACATCATACACAAATGCAGTATCATTAATATTAGCAAATAGGATTCTCGTATGTATTGAGGGGACACCAGTGTTATTCCACTCTTTGCCTTGATCCTTAAATCTAGAAAGGGCCTTAGAAATCATTTTGGTCAAAAATGGCAAATATGTGGCATACATGGCTTCATTCCTTACTCTCATTACCATGGCAGACATCACTAATTGATCACATTAATACACGAATTAACAGTACAAAGTACAGAGAGGTCTATTTCTCAACATCATCCTTGATGCTAATACTGCCAAAAAATCAGTGCTGGCCTATAAAATAAGAATGTTTGTAGTAGACTTCTGGTTTTAGCCCCAGCATAGAAAGAGCTTAGAGGTTTTAACTTGCATTCATTCAGCAATAAAGAGCTGAACAGTTCGAAAGTGAATGACTTTCTTGGGCCTATCAGAGAATTAAGATTGTAGGGCAAACTACACTATCCTGAATTCTTGAAATCCAGGTGAATTCAGGGAGTCACCAAAATATGCTTACCTAGAACAGAAAATACTAAAGCCATAAACCTATAGGAACACTTTAGGTTAATTTTGATGAATTGCTAGAGACTTAGTTTGGACTGGCCTGAGAGTGGAGGCTGCAGTATCAACCCTTCATCCCTCCCACCTATACCCTCCCTCACCCCCACATACTTTTGTGGAGTCCAGAATTTTCTAGTAGTTCTGGTAGGGAATGGGTAAGAGTAACCATTGTCGAATACGACCAGAGCATTCTCTCTGTAACAAAAGCCAGCTCTCAAGGGGAAGGATGTAACCAGAGCCTTGTCCCATCTGGGGAAGGGATTTTTGTTCTAATCTCCTTTAGCCTTTCTGTCTCACCTATGGGTGAAGAAGCTATACCACTGGGAAGAAAATCATGAAGTTTATTACCCAGAGATATAGACCCACTAAAAGATTAAGATATACTCATAAAGTTAGGGAATACTCCTTTCCTCTGTACTCAGCCACCTCATCAACGGGGTTCCAATATAAAAACGGTGAGTTATAGCTGAAGGAACTGCAAGACACAGAGTCTCTCTGAGGGGGAGTAATTAGGGAAGCCTGAAGTCAAGAAAGGATTCATAAACAAGAACATTAGAAGGAATTTGAGGCCTCTGGTATCTACAAATACAGCAAAAGTGAATCAGTCCAACTTCTAACACAAATCCTCACACTAAGGGTCTGTTTATCTCTGATCCCATGACCATTTCAATCTGTTGAATTTTAACAAAAAATTACAAAGTTTACTAAAGGACAAGGAAAAAACATAACCTGAACAAACAAAGCAAACATCAGAACTAGACTCAGATATGTGTTGTAATTATTAGACAGGAATTTAAAAATAACTATGATTAATATGTTAAGGCTCTAATGGAAAAAGTATACAACATGCAAAATAGATGGGTAATGTCAGCAGAGAAATGGAAACTCTACAGAAGAATCAAAAGAAAATACTGGAAATCAAAAACATTGTAACAGAAATGAATGACTTTGATGTGCTCATAAGTAGACTGGACGTGTCTAAAGAATCAGTGAGTTTAAGATTAAGTCAACAGAAATTTCCCAAACTAAATGAAGAATTGGGGGAAAAAAAAAGAACACGTTGAAACTGTGTAACATACATATTCTCGTATACCTGAAGAAGAAGAAAGATGTAACAGAAGAATAATGAAATAATAATGGCTGAAGTAATTCAAATATTGGAGTAATAATGGCTGAAAACTTGCCAAATTAATGACAAACACAAAACCACAGATCCAGGAAGCTCAGAGAATATCAAGTACGATAAATACTAAGAAAGCTACATCTAAGAATATCATATTCAAACTGCAGGAAGCCCAAAGAAAAAGAGAAAAACTTGAAAGAAGCCAGGGGAAAACTACATTTTACCCACAGGACAAGGATATGAAGTACAGTTATATGAAGCAATATGAACAAAGATAGGAAGTCTCAGCAAGAAACCATGCAAGCATGAAGAGAATTTAGTGATATTAGTTGAAAGAAAAACTCACCAACATGGAGTTCTATATCCAGCAAAATTATCCTTGAAATGTGAAGGGGAAATAAAGGTTTTCTCAGATAAACAAAAACTGAGGGAATTCATCACCAGCAGATTTGCCCTGCAAGAAACATTGAAAGAAGTATTTTAGGGAGAAGAAACGTAATATAGCTCAGGAATTCACGTAAAGGAAAAGTGTCAAGGAAGGAATAAATGAAGGTAAATAAGATCTTTTACTTTTCTTATTTTTAATTGATTTAAGATATCTTTTTAAACAGACTGAGGGAAAAGCAAAAAGGAGCTGAACCCATTATGGAAGTGATAGAGCGCAAGTGAGTGCACAAGCAGGGCAAGCAGCAAGAAGAGGGAGAATCTGCCTCCCTGCTGGTCAAGGAGCCCAATGTGATACTAGGACCCTGGGATTGTGACCTGAGCCGAAGATAGATGCTTAAACCCTGCTCAATGGGGAGTCTTCTTCTTCTTTTCCTCTCCCCTCATGCTGTCACAGTCTCTGTCTCTCTCAAATGAATAAATAAAATTTTAATAATAGAACAAAGCAAAGCAGGTGCGGGCTTGACAGCGGAGAAACATGGCGGCCCCGACGCTTACTGCGAGGTTGTATTCCCTGCTGTACCGCAGGACCTCCACCTTCGCTCTCACCATCGCCGTGGGCACCTTATTCTTCGAGTGCGCCTTCGATCAAGGCGTGGACGCGATCTACGAACACATCAACCAGGGGAAGCTGTGGAAACACATCAAGCACAAGTATGAGAATAAGGAATAGTTCCTCAGAGACTCCTCCCCACGCCGAAAGGACCAGGTCCACCCACCAGCTGTTTGCCCAGAACCAGGGCCTCAGCCTGAAGATGATGCTCAGATTACTCATCATTGACCACCTGTAGCTGTTGGCAAGAAGTGGCTTCACCTGACAGACTCTTTAACTTCTGCTGTGTTTGAAGTCTGTTTAGTCAGAGTCATCAGCAAATAAATGGAAATTGTCCTCAATTATTACTTTAGTAATAATAGCAACAATGTATTAGGTAATTAAGGCATATGGATAAGTGAAATGAATGACAGCAGTATCACATGAGACAGGAAAGAAAGTTGAGTATAATGTTATATGGTATTTATACTACATGTAAAGGATATATTCTTATTTGAAGGTATGTTTAGATTAGTTTAAAATATATATTGGAAACTCTAGAAAGACGTTCATTTCATGCTAAGAGAGGAGATAAAATGCAATGATATACAATGTTAAATTAAAGCCAGAAAAAGAGGGGACCAAACAAACAAAAACAAAAGAAAAAATGCAAGGAATAGAAAATACTTACATAGTAAATATTAATCCCAACTAGAGCAATGATCATTTCAAGTATGAAATAAAATACACCAATTAAAAGGCAGATGTCTGGAAGGGTGTTTGTGTGGCTAGTTGTTGAGTGGTGAGGCTTGGTGGGCTGTGCAGAGGTAAAGCACAGAGGCCAGGAGGGTGATTTGAGTTGGGGCAAAAGATCCCTGAAAGGGAAATAACCTCTTTCCCCCTATTTTCCTGTTCTTCTCTTCTTGATATACTTCTTTCTACTGCAATTGCCCAAAGCATGTAACCAGAATATATTAAAAGACATTTTACTATTCTTAATTTAGAAATCAAACTATCATTATGTCTCTCAAGGAGAAAAGAAACAGAATGTATTTGCTTTTTATTTCTGTCTTAATTAACTTTTGATTAACACTTTAAAACAGAATTATTTCAAAGGGGGCTGTTCTTCTACCTAAAAATCTTTGTAGTTAGCTTGCTTTTTCTTCCTGTTTGAACAAAAGCTCCTTTAATCACAGAGAAGACAACATGCTAATGCTTTCCCTGATTCCCAGTCCCTTTTTTGGTGTAATAAACAAAGTGAATTTGTAGGAGATTTGAAAGGACAAAATAGGACACTTTAAGGTATGATAAAAATTTCAATTTTTTTGAAAATTTTTTAAAGGGAAGGATGGTAAGGAATCATCTATTTGTAGAAAGGTATGTGACATTTTACCTTGAAATTATGACTTTAAAAATTCCTATTTGCTCAATAAATCTAATTAAATCATCTATCAGTTACAAATCACATAATTATATATTCTGAATATTTTATTTCATGGTATTGATGTGATTTATCATATTTACTCAGGTAGAAATCAAGTATGTGTTGTGATTAAACATGATACAGATCTGACTTCAAATATTGGCCTGTGCCATTTATTAGCAAGGTATTCAACTTTTCTGAGATTCAGTCTCTCCATATGTAAAACATGAACACTAATAGATTCTACCAAGAATCTAGAATATAGCTAACATACAGTATAAGCTCTGTAAGTGTTTATTGAACAAATAATCTCATAATATTTTGTGAGTGTTATAAACACATATAATGCAGGATGCATACTAAGCATAACTGTTAGTTTTACACTGTCATCAGTATCCTTATCATTTCCCTATTTGATTTAAAGGACATTCAGCTAAAATGGAAGAGGGAGTTTTATTGTGTTCAGGAAAGTAATGTCTAAGCATTTCTCCTAAATAATCAGAACTATCTATCTTCTGGTTATAACCTTTAATGTAGTCAGAGACACCTAAAACTGACAATTTGATATTTGAGGTATCTCATTTATTTTGAGACTCATATTAGCCAACTATATATGCCCAACATGTAAAGGCAATAGAATGAAATTTTCAAGCATACAGAAGCTTAGGAAAAAATTAGTTATACATAAGAATTTGTTGAAAAATTAACTTGAAGATGAAGCAGACAAACAAAAATGGAATCATAATGGAGAAATGGTGGTAAAAGGGATTAGTTGTAAATGTATAAAATAAATTTACCTATTTTTGTATTTTAGGATTAAGATTAAAATTAAAATTGCTGGGATTACAGTTAAAAAGATATAGAAATTTTAATTCCAGACAGATGGAGTATACATACTTTTACTTATTCCTCTATTTAGGTAGAACTAAAAGCTCAAGCTATTATTCATATAACAAATGTGGAAAAATTCTGAAAGGTGGAGAGAATAAGAGAATGGGAGTCAGGGAACAACACAGTGGTAAACTCCCTGGTTTGTGGTGTGTGTGTGTGTGTGTGTGTGTGTGTGTGTGTGTGTTCTGCATAGATCCCAGACTTGGTTCTAGAGAAGTTGACAACCCAGAAGTACCAAAAAATACAAACAAAAAATGCTCCAAGGCCAGCTCTCCCTATGCAAGAGGCCAGGAAAGGAAGAGTCTAGCAAAACAGAAAAATCTTAGACAACAACCGCCATACTCTAGTCAAGCACCACAGAAAAAGCTGTGTACCACCCCCACTCCAACCCCTGCCAACAAAGGTCAAATGGGCACTTGAGACTTTCACCCTGCCCAGGCTATAAAAAAGCACTCAATGCCCCTACTGGGGTACAATCAGTAAAGGCCTAATGGGGAGCGCTGGGACTTGCACTTAACGCTAGTTTATAATGAAGACTCTCTCTACCATCCCCACTCAGTGGAAACAAAATGGGGGGCCTGGACTCCCACCTCCAGTCCTCAGGAAGGACATATCTTTTCCTTCTGGGGGAAGAGCCAGGATTTTCACCACCACTCAGCAGTAGTGATACTACTCTCCTACTCATGTCAGTGGAGGCCATGTGAGGAGCAGTAAGGAAGCACTCTTACCCCTTAAAGTTAGGGTAGATATCAGTGCATGCCTAGTGGGGAATGGGAACTCCTACACCCAACTACCAATAATGAGTTCCCCTATTCCCTGAGTGTCCATGGAGATCAAGTGGGGAACACGGACCTCCACCCATATGTGACAGTGATGAGGCAGTGTTCCCTCCTTACCCTGCCAGAGAGGTATCTGAGGAGGCCAACCAAAACAAGACTTAAATAAGATCCAAAGTCTTATAACACAAGACCACAAATACCCAGATGTTAGGTAAAAAAATCACTTGTCCATCAAGAACCAGAAAATATCAACTTAAATGAGAAAAGATAAGCAATAGATAACAGAGATAACAGAGATGTTCAAATTATCTGAGGATTTTAAATCAGCTGTCATAAAAATATTTCAATGAGCAATTACAAATTTCTTGAAACAAATGAAAAAATAGACTCAGGAAAGAAGTAAGAAATCCTAACAAAGAAATAAAAGATATGAAGAATAACCAAATAGAAATGAAAATACAAAAAATGAAATTAAAGCTCAGTGGGTGTGGTGTGTTCAACAGCAGAATGAAGGAGAGATTTTTAAAAATCAGTGAACTTGAAGATAGAATAATAGAAATTACCCAGTGTGAACAGTAGAGGGAAAATAGACTGGAAAAAATAAAATAATGAACAGAGTCTCAGGGATCTGCAGGACCATTTTTCTACCCAGCATTCTATATCCAGGAAAAAGTTCCTTCAGTAGTAAAAAGGAAATCAAGACATTTTGAGATGAAGGAAAAACAAGAAACTTTGTTGGCAGAAGACCTACCTAAAAGAATGGCTAAAGTAAGTTTTCTAAAAAGAAAAGAACTAATAAAATATGAAAACCTGGAACATCGAGTCGGAAGAAAGAAAAACAGAAAGGTAAAAGAGGAATGCCTGCAATAGAGTTTACCTCTCTTCTTGGGTTTCCTAAATTATGTTTGATGGTTGAAGCAAAAATTGCAACACTAGCTGATGTGGTTGTCAAACTTGTAGAGCCATAGGAGTAATACCCTTCTCTTTTTAAGTTTTTCATAAAAACATTTTAAGGGACTGGTATGTAATATTCATAATTGCTTATTTTACTTTAACTTCTATTACATTTAAATACCATTAAATTTTGCCTATTTTATTAACAAAACAGAATAAATAATATGATAACATTGCTCTAAAATTAATATCAGTATTTTTGTTATACATGTGTACACACATACAGACCTGTCTGCAATGATTTTCTCTGAATGTTGATAAAAGAGATGTATTGGGATTTGGTTTGATTATTAAACTTATTTTTACTTTTTGTTATCTTGTTAAAGTTTTGAAGTGACTATGCATTTTTATTACAGAATTGTTATGTTTAAGAATTATGAATCAAAAGAATATAGCAATTGAAAATAAACTGTTTAAGGGAAAATTACAATTTTATTTTTGAATATTACTGATATTCAAAATATACAATAATGCAAATATTTAAATTTAAAATATCCTACCGGAAATGGTTTCCTTGGGGGCTCAATTCACATCCCATGCAAAACAAAAACTAATTTTATTTTGCCACATTCCTGAAATCTAACTAATAGATGGGTCTCTCTCTCCCTCTTGACCTCTTTGTCTCTCTTAATACATATATACACATATGCATGTGTGTACAATGACATATATTCAGGGTAGTCTCTTTAAAGACTTTATATGGTGAGAGCCAGCCTTTCATTTTAAATATGGAAGTGGCAGTGGTCATGAAAAAAATTGTATTGATACAAGATTTTCTCTAGGTATAATATTCTACACAGTGAGTAATTTCAAGGAGGATAGCTCTATGACACTGAATTTGCTGAGAATAAAAGACGCAGGAACTAAAATATATAAGAGATTGGCGGGTATAGCTAGAGAAGCAGTTTGGTGTGTGTGTGTGTGTATGTGTGTGTGTGGGCGCACGCATGCGCGCACACATGCACGCATTTATGAACACTGGGTGTCTGGAAATAAGCAACTTCATGCAAAGTAGAGCTGAACCTCTGGCTTCCTTGCATATGCGATACAAGTGAGGACATGTGATTTTGTTCATGGTATGAATGCCTAAATACATCCACATCAAACTAGTTGTCCCTCAGAATGAAAACTCAGATTTTCCCCTCAGAAGCCTAAGGGAAAATACTGAATGCAAAGTTAAAAGGCTGCCACCTACTGATATGTGACCTTTAGTAATTAACCTCCCTTCCAAAGCCCTAGATTCCATGTCCTCAGTCATTAGTAATTGCCCTGGTCATTGTTTTCACCCTGGGCTCAGTTCACCTAGATACAGAAG